ACTTCAGATTACTCTATATAACTGCCATTTCTCTGAAGCCAAAGGGCCATACTTTGAGGCACAATATTTGTTGTTTTTATGTTTCTTCTTTCGGATGAAAGAGCCCTTTGCTGGTGATTGCAGCTTTTTGGCCTTGACTACAGTCAACTTTCATGTTGCACTGAATTCATTAATCTACAGATTTGGAAGAAAGCTGATCAAGGAAAATGTTATTACAGAGCTTGTCACATGAAGGAGGAATTACAGGTAGGCAGGTGATGTTCTGTTTTTCTGGGTTTTTAAAGCTGTGTTTGTCTATTTCCTTTTGGACACAAAAAAGAATTGTTAGAGTTTTTTAAGGACAAATGGGTTCCAAAGATCTTTTATCCTTGGAAATTTTTAGGTAGAAGCCAGACAATGCTTGGAAGAGATACTGCAGGGATGGCTCGCCTAGCTCACTGTTCTCCAGGATGGGGTAAATACAGTGGTATTTATTTATTTATTCTGCTCGGACAGAAACCCCTCCTTAAATGATATTCAATCAGATAGTGAGAAAGTTATTCTTTTCTCAATTCTTTTTCAGCCCTTTGTATTATAGGAAAGACAAAGTCTTATTTTGGTGCTAATATGTATTTAATACCTCATTAACATTTGCCCACCACCCCTCCATCTTTTTTTAACAGTGGGAGGGCAGGTCTGAGGCTCTCAGAACTTTTGGCAGGCAACAGTATTTACTATCTCCTTTACAAGACAAGTAACAGGAGGATGATGTGAGGTATTGGAAGAAAAGTACGTCAATTTAAAAAACATTTAAAGTAATTGAGAATAGGGGCGGTACCTATATAACTTTGGGATAGAGATACCATGACCTGAAAAATCAGATTAGGGATCCTGTTCTTAAATTGTCTCTCTCTTGTTGGAAGGACAGAGGATCAGTTGGAAGTATCCTCTGTCTCAGCTGGAATTGGGATTTGCTTGCATATATTGTATGATTTAAGGGATGAAGGTAAGCTGCTCCCTCACCATCCAAAATTCCTAGGGACCATAACTTTGTATTCATTTATTCCCTGTGTCTAGCTCAGGGTCTGACATAGTAAGAGTTCAAACAATACCTGTTAATGAATGAATGAATCCTTTTTACAATTCTACCTCCAGAGTGCCCTGCCATAGGCCCCAGACATGGCTGCTACTCTGCTGACACTGGCCTCCACACCTGTCATCTATGATATGCCCACCTCCACAAGACTGTTTGCCAACAGTGGTGCTCCCCCTCCCAGAAAACTGGAGGCACAAAGGACTCCTTCTGAGGTGAGTGATTGAGAAAGAATGCACACTCAGAAACAGGTAAGAAGAAAAAGCATCCATTTTCTGAAAAGTTTCAGAGTTAAGGAGGAAGTCAGAGTTCTATCTACACAACACAACACTACACAACCTGAAATGGAGTTTAATTATTGTCTACTGACTTTAATCAGGCTAAGCCAGCCAAACCAACTAATATTTCTGGCATGAAACATCTAGTTTGGCTACCTATGATGACCAAATCAATAGAAATTGGCGCCAAACCCCTATTTTATTGTGTGGTGTGTTGGCGCAGACATAGTCTTCTTCTTCAAAGAAAAACACAGGTCCTGGAGTACAAATCCAGGCATTAGGCATCCTCCCAGCTTCTCTCTTGCAGCTTCTGGAATGCTAATACACACCAACGATGTTTGGAAGACTAGTATTTCAAATTCAGGAAAAGTAGAACATGTTTCTGCAGGAACTTTAAACCTACAACTCATAAACATGCATGTTTCAAGGATGAAAACCTAGAGTTTAAATGTGACTTTGATACAATTAAATGTACAGGATCTTCTAAGTCAAAATGCCTAGTCAAAAAAAATGCAGTAAGAGCTTCGTGCATTTCAATTTCTGTCTGCACAGACTTTGGGACTTCTGAATTTAACAGCACTAAATTCAAGTGTTTTCCCATTGGGACACTTTCTATGGGAATATGACCCCTGAGTTCTTTTACTCTGATGTTCCTATCAGGTACAGGGAAGACCAGCACAGCTATTAACACAACGTGGTTATACCCAGAAGATGGAGGGGCAAAGTTTTCCAATAGCAATTTAGTCGCAATAAATGTGGTGTTTGGTAACTGAGTCCATGCTGAGTTAAGCTTTGGCACACAACTATCAAGAGTGGGATAAGGCAACATATGAAACCCAGTGCTCACCTGATGGGTACACAAGTTTATCCGCACATTTCTAATAATAATAGTACTGACATTCAAACCCTGAGTTCTGATATTGGCAGCCCGAGGGTTGCATTAAGCCTTCAGATCTTCTTTGTTTAACCCGTAGTGTTTTGTTCTGTTAATTGTATCAACATTAAAAAATCTGGAGGTTGTTAAAGAACTTTGGATTTCTGGACTCTCTTGGAAAACTGGAAATTTGGACCTATTGACACATGGCAACAATTGGCTCGAGCTGATACTTTCCAGGTCACAGGAGCCTTCTTGCCTCCCTTGCCTGCGCTATTCTGCAGCTGGAGCACTTTCCATTATCAACATGCTTCCTGTTACTTCTCCTGTCAGAAATATTTCTCTGCATCCATAACTCTATCACAGTAGAAAATAAAAAGTAGTCTGCAAGAGCAGCTTCATATACATATATATATGTATGTACACATCACCTACTTGGCCACTGGAGGCATTGCTTCTCCATTCTAAAATAATGGAGCCTGACTTTGCTCCCTCCCCAGGCAATACATTATCCAGTAACATCTCCCAACACACACAGGGGTTCTCCAGGGATGTTGTCATTTGTCCTCCCCTCCTCCTCATTCCCACTGAGTCAGACCATCCCCTTTGGTTTAGAATCACTGTACTTTAAACCCTGAAGGAAAGTCTTATTGAATAGATCATTCATTCCAATGAATCATAAGTATCTAAATTACTATGTAGCTTGGAAATTACTCCTTTGAGACTAACACCTTAAAAAGATCTTGGGCAAACTAAATCATGCGCCTTGCCTTAACACAGTCTTGGAGAAGAGCTGAGACTCTCTTAATGGTCTCAAGTGGCAGCATTCCCAACTTGTAATTAGGTGGCCCTTTAAAAGTTCATTTAATGTTGGTTGCTTGCCACTTATCATTTCTTTGTCTTTTAACAACAATATAAATGTTAATAACTTCCCCAAGGTTTACTCACAAATTTATTTTTAACCCTGCAAAGCATTCGTATCATAATGTTTTTTCCTGCAAAACTGGTCAGTGAAAGCTCTTATTCCTTCAGTAAAGTTAATATATTAAGCATTAGAAAATACCAGGAAATTCCACTTTGAGGTAACTGTCAATTAGGATTGCTACTCAAGGGAAGTAATATTTTCTCTAATTGTAGCAAACAAAGGCTTTCCTCTTATAAAGGGTAAGACAGTGGGTTTTTAGTACAATTACCAGGAAGCAGAAACCTCTGAACACTGACCCCAGGCTTGAAGAGATAGTGTAAGGAATCTAGGACCCCTCAGTTTGAATTCAGGAAAACTGCAGGAACTCAATTCAGACTCCAGCCAGCAGGGATGGTGAAGAGGGCGCCCTAATAAAACAGCAGATGTGAGTTCTGTCCTCCAAGGGCTTACTGCAAGAATTTGTTTCCCAGGAAAAAGGCAGCACATAGATAATAGAATAAGATGTGCCCCCATATCAGTACTAATCTAGCTTCAGTGGTAAGAACTGTGGCTGCTAAGATTACTGTTGGTCAGCAATGGGCCAGGTCAATTTCAAAAACAAGGGCCCCCAGTTATTCTGTTTACATGATTGCTTTATGATAATTCACCCTCCAACGGGAGCTTCGCGTACATGCAATCACTTGTTTAAAGACCTGGATGAGTGGAAGCCAGCAGAGATATGCAAGGCACTGAGGAAAAATCTGACATAGTTTCTATCCACATAATGGCCTGCCCTCCAGGTCAAGCCATTGCTCCATCTGCTCTATCCCTTGTGTGTTCTACTATGAAGTTCTTACGGCACAGAGATCTTGAAAGGACCTTATAAATACTCTTGAGGGGAAAAAAAAATGCTCAGTACCGCTCACATAGAGGCAGAGTGATTTGCCTAATGAGGAAAGTGAGCCGAGGATGGAAAAGAGAACAGGGTCAGTAATACCTGAGTTCTGGGCTTTAGCTACAAACCCAGAAACCATCCTGCTGGGGCAGTGTCTATGGACATTCCTTCTCCATTTCAGAGATGTGCTGTGGGGAAAGAGAAGAGTGGGCAGGAAGGAAGGTACAGTAATATTTTTCTGCAAATTCTTGGTTCCGTTTGTATTCACCAATCACATATACAATGATTTTTTTAAACTATTTCCCATTCGGGAGTAAATTGTTATCTCACTGTCTTGGAAAATAGAATCCTGTCCTGCAAAACTCCACTCTTTGAAAATCCAAGTGTCTCCTGACAAAGTATCTGGTGGGTGAAATGCCCACCCCCTCCCCTTTCTCCCACCAGCATAAAAGGTCATAGGGTTTGGGGGGCAACTGGAGAAGGAAATGAAATCATGCGGGTTCACCAGGAAAAGATAAAGTGTTGGTGGCAGCAGAGCTGGTGAGTGTTGTGGGCATTACCTCTTGATGAGGCTTCCAAGAAGGCTCCCGCTCAAGTCCTGGTGGCTCTGAGAACAAGCATTCTTGCATCAATAGCTAATAGGCTGTCCAACCAGATGTTATCTGGGTGGGATAAGAGGGTGAGAAAACAGACCTGTTGTACGCTGTTGTCAACGGTATTGATGTGGTCAGAGAAGGCTGGTTTTGAGTGTTTAGCAGGGCAGACCAGATTACGTAGCTGTTTAAATCCATTTCCTCTTGTGATTGGTAAAATACTAAAGTGACAATCATTCATGCATTACTAAAGCCGCCTTTCCATCATTTTGAAGGGATTTTTTTTTCTAGAACAGAGCATGCATCCAGCAGAAACCTCAAGCATTTGCTTTTCTAAGCGATCTTTTTTAATAAGCACACTTTAAAAAAAACTGCATGTGGTACCTGTGACAAGACTGGAGATGATAAGTGGTAACACCAACATCTGTAACATCCTCATCAGGAGTTCTCCAGGAAAGGAGAAGTACTTGACTTCCCGGTAGCTCATTCTGTATGGTCGGAGGCTAAATCCAAGGATTGTACCTGAATGGAAAAAAAAAAAAAATTAAGTCTTTTTGAAACTGAAGTAAGAGTCTTAGGAAAATAAGCAGGGATTGACTGGTGGTTACTCCTATCTGACAAGAGTCAATTTATTTAAGCAGCAAATATTTGTGCTGCTTTGTGTTGCTTTGGGAGCAAAGGGGGTGTCTATCTTTTCAGTGGTGGTCTGGAGGGGTCTGCTGAATCCAGGGCTTCACACAGAATTTACAGAAAAAATGTTCCTGGTTTTAGCAAATGAAAAAAGGCTTTGTCTAACTTGAATACAGTGGAACCAATTTTGACATGGCTTAGTACAGAGTTACAAAGTATGGGGCAAAACTGGGAGACAAATCATGTCGCCATGAACAAGCCTATATAGAAAAAAATGCCTTCTTATAATGAAGTTCCTTTGTAAGGACAGATGTTAGAACTGCTAGCATAACCACTTAGAAAGGGTAGTGTGATTTTAATTTTTCAAGTAAAAAAGCCCCCTCTTGTCCACATTGTTAATCTATTTTCATCATCTCCCTGTCTGTACACCACACTTTTTGTCTACATGGTCTCTATATTGCCTAGGTAACTGTATTGCACAGACTTATCAGCTGCAGGCAAGAGAAGACGCCAAAAGGAACAGACTTTTTTCTGAAAATTTTTCCTGAGAACTTAATGGAAAATAGAGGAAAGAGAAAGCAATTTTCCTCATAATATTCTTTCTGTTCCTGGAAATATAAAATATATTCTAAAAATGATAGCTTTACATGTAAATCAAATTATGCATCATACCTTTTGAAATGTTCAGAAATTAACAAACATATTGAGCAAACTTATGCCCTCTCCCCTTTCCCTAATATACTTTCCTTGCCCAAGAAAATTTACATATTCCATTATTATAAATGTTCTCAAAATTATTGCCTAGCTCTTACTAAAACGTGGGAGTTATAGAGAAGTATGGAGTAATCTAGAAGCTAGGGGTTGAGGGAGGAGCAGAGAATACTGAGCAGATGCAAGTTTTTCCAAAGAAAGCAAGCAGTCCTTTAAGGAAACTAAGCCATCCCTAAGTTCTCACGAAACAAAGGTCTTTTCAGTTGTTTTCTTACAGACACAAAGTTCATTTCAGTTGTTTTTGCAACTCTAATTTCAAACCTTGGGTCTCAGCAACCATCAAGTATCTGTTCTTTGACTATACCCTGTGATATTCCAGTTAAGAGTATGAATCTATGTGACTAGAAAATCCAGCTGACCCAGTTCTCAGGGACTTGAGGAAAATATTGATTGCTTTTTCTCAGTAAAAAGATGTTCAAGAGAGAAAAACTGATTTGGAAAATGTAGAAAAGTAGAGGCAAAATCCTGTCTATACTGGCTCTACCGCTTAACTAGGAAATGCCTACTGAGCTTGTACTGTATGCCAGGCATTGTTAGAGCTCTACCTGGGTTAGTGTGTTTAATCCTCACATAAATCCCAGAAGGTAGGCACTGTTTACCACCAATTTCCTGATGGAGAAATCTAATCACAGTGAACTTAAAACTTGCCGATTTCTAGAGCTGTTCAATATCAAAGTCACATAGCTACTCAAGTGACAGAGCTGGGACTTAAACACAGACATTTTGGACTCAGATCTCACATTCGTGACCACCTTGCATTTGTCTTTGCCTCTCAGAATAAAGAGAATCATTGTTAGTGCTTCATGAGTATCTTTCCAGAATGTTCCCAGAGTTATATATATAGAAATCATGCAGATTGTACTTTTTCATATGTAGTCACCATAAACATCATTTTTGGCCATAGGATATCAGATACAGTGATTTTATCAAAATTTTTGTAGTCCTTCCTTTGTTGCTGAACACTTAAGTTGTTCAGCATTTTCACTTTTATGAAGAACACCATGATGAATATGTAAAGGCTATTTTATGCCTAGGAATTTTTTTAGTGTAGCTTAGAGAAAGACAACCAGTGCATTAAAGAATATGACTACCTCAATTCATGTTATCAAATTGTTTTCCCAATGGTTGGCTTAGCAGTTTATAGCTCCATTAGTGAATGAGAAGGCTTTATTTCCTGTACCTCTAAGAGCACAATTATAAGAGTATAATTATAAAAAATTGTTAAACAATTTGTGAATGCAGTAAGCAAATAGTATTTTTGTTTCTTTTGAGTTTACTTGATATCTAATAATGTTGACTATTTTCTCCTAATTGTGTTTTCTTTAAGCATTTACTAAATCCTGACAGTTTATGTATATGTTTTTGTATGAATTTGTTGTAGATTCTTTATATAATAAAGATAATTATTCTTCACCTATGTATAAAATAATACTTGCTATAACTATTTTTCTAATTTGCTTGCCATGTGTCATAACTTTTAAATACAGAGGTGTAAGACAAGCAGTGGCTTTATAGCATCTTACTATGCTGATGGACAGTGACCGTAATGGGGTATGTGGTGGGGACTTGATAATGTGGGGAATCTAGTAACCACAATGTTGCTCGTGATTGTATATTAATGATACCAAAATAAAAAAAATATAGAGGTGTTTTGCACTTTATAAAATAATGTCTATAGACCTTTTTCATTAGGTAATTTCTTCAAGAATTATAAAGTTTAATTTTCCTTCCCCTCCCAAGTTTGATAAATCTTTAATTAATTTTTCCTCCTTTGATTGTTTGTTTGCTTTATTTTAAAATAGTGAAATGTCCTGAAACTTGGTTTAGGGTAAGTCATTTAATTCCACATGTCAGTGCACATTATTCAATATTGCAGTATCAACAATGCATAAGAATTATAAAAGTCTCTGGTAATATTTGGTTCCTTCCTGCCTGCTCATATAAAGGCTGTCACATTGAAGTAAGTGTTTCATCCTATAATAAGTAAATAAACAAGTAAATATTTGGAAATTTTACTTTACTTCCAATCATATGTAATTTCACTATAATTTATTACGTTTTCTTATCTTTATTTAAATGCATTTAAACATTTGTCATTCAATTATAACAAAATATGGGCACAGTAAACACAAGAAACTCTTTTTCTTCACCTGAAATCTGACCATATCAAGCTATCAGGATTTTAGGTATCCCCCCCAAAAATAATGTAAGACCAGGCTTGGTTGTACAAGTTCATTTTTAATTTGGCTGTTTGTTATTAGAAATGTGTTTACTTATATAGAACAATATTTCCAAAGATAGGTAGGATTCTGGCTAGTCCAAAAAAACTATCTAAGTCATAATTTAGAAAAAAATGATAGACTAATTGGTCTACTAGTGATACAAGCAGAGGTTCTAGGAGCAAGAGGCAAGCCAGTGTAGTAGACGGAAGGGATTATTATTTCTAAATACTATTATTTTTAAATACTAAGGGCAGTTGATCTCATCTCCCAAAATTTAACCTGTGCCAGCACTGACTCTCCTCCCTTCCCTACAACTATGCCAGCTGTATCCAGCTTCTCTTTCCCCTTAGGTGCTCCATTACCTTCTGTCTTTCCCCATCCAACCCTACATTTAGTCAGTGCAACCAATTTTCATCTGGGTGTTAGGAGAGAGAGTAAGCCAGCTCAGTGAATGAATTCTGAGCAGTGTGTGAACGACAAAGTCAGTTAACACTCCAATCTGCCAAGCAGATCCCCAACAGATCAGCAAAAAGACAGTCATAGAGATGCAAAGTCTCAAGAGGTGGTGATATTTTTCTTCAGTGTCTGGAAACCTCCTCTGTCTAGTAGAAACAGCAAGGAGGAGACATCATTTATTTACAAGGGACAGTTTAAAGTAAAATGTTTGGAAGAGAGGAATTGCTTAGAGAGAAAGCACATGGCAAATACACTTTGAATCAGTTTTGTCCCTGACTGAATCTCTGGGTTTACCAAGTGATCTGTATCTGCTCGTGAGAAAGAGAAGATTATGTTGGGGAAAGGGAGTATTTATTGAGCCCTTATTCTGTGTTAATGGTGGCTTAACACTCATTACAGCTTCATGAGTAGATGTTATTGTGTCTGCTTTAAAGATGAATACATTGATGTTCAGAAGATAGTTAACTTGCTCAAGTTTACAGGGCTCATAAGTGATTGACCTGGGGTTTCTAAACAATAGTGCTCTTTCTATTACACTTAAAGCCTCTCAAACACAAGCATATTAATGTAGCCTGGGCCTTGAGTTCTCAAATGAGCCTGGCTCCTAGGTCTTTGGCGTCTCTAACCCCTAAATTGTGAAAGCATTGAGTATTAACCTTGAATCTGCTAGAGATTACCAGAGGTACCCAGCACATCTTGGAACCCTTTCATTTGTTAAGGACCTCACAATATGGTTATTAGTACCAAGTGACTATTTAAAATGGTTACACCATATTTCTTTATATGGAATGATTTAAACTAATTTACATAAAAGTTATTAATTAAAATAATAAATAAAAAATTAATTTTCCCTCCACTATACATATTTAATCCTCAGAAACAATCAGTAACAAAGATGGAAGGGACATTAAATGAAAACATGCTTCAAGTTCCCATGCTAAATGACAAAAGCTAGCAGTCATTGAGTATGTGAGAGATGCCAGGTCCTCACAAGCACATGGCCTCACAGACACCACGGAGGCCAGCACTAGCATTACCCAATGCTCAGAGGGAAAGAATCAGAGTCATTGAGAAGGTGGGTAAATTTCCAAAACCACATAGCTGGTACAGGTTGGAGCCATGGTCAGTGCTGAGGGGTGAAGTTGCTTCTCCAAGGCCAGGTGAGCGGCTGAGGTGGACTTGATGTGCAGGCTACCAAGCTCCAGGGCCCAGGCTCTCAGTGCTGTATTCCTGGCCTTTCAATAGTCAGGCACTCATTTAAAAAGTCTAAGTGAGTATACAAAATTTCGCCTACCTTTTTGTTCTATTTTGAATTAGGTTGACTAAATGTAGAGCTTAAGTTGGGGAAAGATTTTGTTGATCTCCCTTAATGAGGTCAACATCTAGCTTTTTTCCAATTCATTTATTGAATGAATAAACAAAAGACATTTTCCTTGAACATTC